ATTTTAAAGAATTGTATATGAAGTAAGGGTATAATAAATATATGTGTGTATATATATATACATATATATATATATATTTTTTTTTATGGGGAGCGCTATGATGTGTATAGTTTTTGTTACCAATCTTTTTGAAAACCGGTTTTTTTAATTTTTCCAATTTTTTGGGAAATAATTGATTGTATCTCAAAGAATTATGAAGTAGGGATAGAATTTCCCGGGGAGTGCTATAAAGTGTACACTATTTTTTTGTTACCGATTTTTTTGGAAACCGGTTCAGAATGATCGAATCTGAAAAAATTGTACATACAAAGTAGGTGTAGAATTTCCCGGGGAGTGCTATAAAGTACATAATTTTTTGTTACCGATCTTTTTGGGAATCGGTATCAGAAGTTTTTCAAATTTTTCGGGAAATAATTGATCGAATTTTAAAGAATTGTATATAAAACAGGGGTAGAATTTCCCGGGAAATGCTATAAATTGTATTGTTTTTCGTTACTGATCTTTTTGGGAACCGGTATCTTTTTGGAAATCTGTTACAAAATTTTTCCAATTTTTTAGGAAATAATTGAGTGAATCTCAAATTGTATACAACAGAATTAAACTTCAGTCGATAAAAAAGTAATATTTTTCAATTTATAGCATTTTAGAGAGAGAGAGAGAGAGAGAGAATGAATAAATGAATAAATGAATAAATGAATACATTTATTAACTTTTAGCTATCATACAATACACACAATACACTTTACTTAAATCCATTTTTCTTTCAATCTTCTTTTAAATTCTCTTACATTATTATCAATGTTTCTTATTTCCTCAGGCAACTTATTGTTGTAATCTAAAATTACAACGAGTAATTATTAAATTACTTATAATAAAATTATAGAATAGTCTTTCGAAAGACTTCGAGGAAATTGTCTTTCGAAAGACTCCTCAATTTACGCCGACGCGGACGCAGAAGTTCATCAAGCTTCCGCGTCAATCGAACTATTGCGATATGCATAAGAATGTGCGACAACGCATTTCGACATTCGCGGAACCGCGGAAGTTCATCAAGCTTCCGCGTCAATATTGCGAGATGCATAAGAATGTGCGACAACGCATTTCGACAACCGCGGAACCGCGGAGTACAGCGAAATTGCGAATGCGCTCGGTCACTGACCGACCTCATTCGGGGGACCGTCGAACCCGGCAGAAAAGCGCCGACAGGGCATAACTCAAAACAATATAAGGGACCGTCGAAGAAGCCGCGACGGAGAGTAATACACCGGAGACTCTGCCCGTGACCGTTCTCGTAAGTCGTGTCGCGAAGGTTTACATTATAACAAAGCGCGTGCGAGTTATAGTAATTGTGAAAGGCAAATACAAGTGTAAGTTAGTGAGTGTAAAAGGGGCGCTGAAATAAAGCTCCAATATAAAGCAAAACGAAGTGAAGTTCATTTAACGACGCCTACACCCCGTTCCACCTGCGAACCCGACCGCTTCCTAGTCTGCCCGCCTGTGCTTACCGAGTCCCAACTCGTAAGGTCAAGAGATCCCGAAAATAATAAACGTTTTGCCGTAAGCCGTCACCAACCGGCGACGCGGCATAACATTATTATAAATCCTTATACCATCATAAAACAAATCTTTCTGTCCTGTTTCTAAATTGTACTTGTAATTGGTTTACTTGCCTCGTTTTGTACTTATGTCGCTCTCCTACCTTCTCAATCTTATTATACAACCCCCTCGGTAACAATCCATTAGCTAGTTTATACATAAATATACATACATTATACTTAATTCTCTTTTCTACGGGTAGTAGGTAAGCTATGGGAGTTCTAAGCCATGGGGCAATGAGGGGG